CAGAGTTCCATAAAGCAAAAAATGTATATACTAGTTTTGTCCTAAAGGTCTCAGAAAAAGTAATCTCTGCATAGGTGACAGACCTTCTAAACGTTAGCTGTTCCATCAAGTTGATTGTGTTATCCTGACTACTACTACTCTCTGAAAAGTCCGACATTCTTCTGCCGGCATCAAGCCAAATAAGAAGTGCATCAGCAAGATGCATCTCACTGTCAGAGTTTTAGCCAAAGGTGAGAATATTGGGTATGTTTGCACTGATAAGATAGACAATGGGTACAAACTTACCTGTCTACAGTCAGGTGAGGATGTTTAATGCTACTAGGAAGGATAAATTGGAAGAGTAAGTGGTACATACGAAATTCTTTGAAAGATAGGCCACAGAGAGATCTGGCACAAATTCTCCAGCTGTAAGTGTCACCAAATGAATCATGATTTTAGAAAAGTAAGCTAAAATTAACAACTAAAAAGAGATTTCTCGCAAGATTCTAACCATGCTCGAGACCAAAACTCCACATCTGAATAAGGTCAGTCAGTCCTAGTTTCGGCAATGCAGTGTCCTTAGATAATGCCAAAACTGAAAGCCAGATTTTGCATTTAGAGAGAAGCTTCTCCACCCCAAAATTAATAGAGCGCAGCCTATATTCGCCATTTGGAATCGTCGGTAATTAGCATGTAACAAGAGAAAAAGGAAAAAAAGGGAGCAGAGGATTGATTACAAGAATCTAACATCAAACAGACTACTGGATGTAATATCAATGGAGTAACCATACAAACACATGAGAAGATTCAAGAAAGTCTCTGGATTCCATTCAACAGAGATATGATCAAGGCCTGATTCACTGTCACAAATCCCAAATTCAACCAAATTAAACATCACTATGGCTGAAAACTAACACACACAACACTAAATTGAAACAATACATGCACCAAATCACTTGTACTTGCAATCAGAATCCAGAATCTACCTGAAGCTTCCACTTAGAAGGCCATGGAAATACGAGGATTCCTCGATAAGCCTAATATACAAAAACGAATAAAAAAAAAAAAAAAAAAGAATCACTACACTATTACTAAAAAAAAACCTAACCAATACAAATCAAGAGTGGAGATGAGAAGCATGAACACTTGCCTAGCTCGAACTTTTACTCTTCCGTAAGAGAGTATTTTTGACAAACCCCAGGATACGATTTCAGAAGCTGAGATCGAAATCTCTTGACTCGAAGAAGATGCCTCTCGTTGATTCACGACGAGAATCACGAATTCATCGAGTGAGCTCATCGCCATTGGAATCAAACCAAAAATTCCTCTGCTTTTTAAAACCGGTTCATCCTCAACTAAACCGGTATTAAAATCATAAACCAAATTATTGGTTAATGAATTAAAAAAATTGATTGACAGACTCTACGGGAAGAAGTCTACTTCAAGCGAATCCAAACACGGTGGTGATCCGTGAGATTTCGTGATCATCGGCTGAATAAAAATGCATAACTGGGTTCAAGCTTCTTCTTCCGATTTCAGTGGAACTCCTCCGCAGGCGCGGAGGTATAATTCTCTTAATCTATATCTCTCGATTTTTGAATTTTCAGCTGATTTTGTTGGTGTTTGTGTATCAGTGGACATATAGCTGTCAATGTCGGAAAATCTATGGTGGTGGTATTCGTCGATAAGAAATTCCTCAGTGATATAATTGTTTATGATATTGGTATCATCATCATCATCATCATCATCATCATCCTCTGAACCCTTTATCATTTATCAAATAACTTTTAATTGCGATATACTTCAATGGCTTTCATTATGCTTATTTCAGTCTAGCATCATTGGTTTGTTGTTCTTCTAATTGGTTTATTGTCAAGGAAGATGCTGTTTATGAGTTTCTGTCTTGGATTGCTTTGCTTGTGATGATTCTGCTAGTTTAGTGACTGTTAGCTTCATCAAAGTTGGTTGTTTATCACTTACAATTTGCGAATATATAGAAACTAAAAACTTTACATGAGATTATTGGATCTGGTGTTGAAGATGAATCAGATGGACAAGTGGGTCCTAC